CGGGTTTCTAAGTTGTATATAGTGTATTAGTATTACTCCACTCAATTCAGCTCGTCAGATTGTCGCCGGCCGGTATGGTTCACATGGGCTGGTTTTAGTTTTGTTCTAATGATATGTAGTACTTACTACTTAGTTTTTGGAAGTTAATATTATGTAAGTTCATGAGCTTTGTAGTTCAACTGGCCAGTATTTTGTGACTTGTGAAAACTTTTAGTTTTCAATCTTTTACTAAAGAACAATGGAAGAACAAAAAAAGTGTAACACGTACATGAATTTCACTATTTTCTTTCTCATTGAGCCTAATGTTAAGCAGGTGTAATTATTAAGCGACCATACTCTTCCATCAGACATGCGTGCTTACAAACTGAAGTATCATATTCTAGGCAAACAATACGAACAAAAGTATATATGACATTTCAAAGCATAAATATGAATTTTTGTTCGAAAAAAAAAATGTATGACAGGTCGACCAGCCTAACGATTATGTCGTCTCATATGTTTCTCTATGATAGGCATAACACTAGTCTTTTGTTAGGCTAACATATTTTTTTTCCCATCATATTTTCATTAAATTTGTTATACTTTATACAACAGTATAAACATAATATGACACTTCAAAGTAAAAAATATGTATTTCTATTCACATGGTGTGATGGGTTCACCTATTTAATGGCTCGTTCATACTCAGAATTGTTTTTTTTATATAATTTTATATATTTCGGTTCGTTAAAGTTTCAGATTGACTCATTAATATTAATAAACAAGTTGTGCTCGAGCTCGATTTTTGACTCATTTACTTAACGAGCTGAGCTCGGCTTTTTAAAAGTTCAGGCTCTGCTCAACTTGTTTATAGCCTAGCTAGCCACAATATTACACACTACCAAAGTAGTAAAATCAATTTTAAGGAAACATCGCTTTTCTTCAGGCTTCAGTCAACTTTCCTCAGTCGGCATGTTCATTTTCTTTTTCAGGTGGGGTAAAAAGAACCATGAGGTTCTATTATTGTGTTCTGTTTTAGTAATAATGGGGCCAAAAAATAATGTTCCCAGCTCCATAAATATCTGAATAGTCATGAACATTTTATCTCACAGAGTATTTTGTTGTGAATTTCATGCTTCATCAGCCTTCAAGAAGCAGCAAGCTCTTCAATTGTAGTGTCAGAATCATCCAGAAATTCCTACTTATAAATGCCAAAAAAGAAAAACAAAATAGAATATTTACCTGTTACCAAAGGACTAGTTTGCGTTGAAAAACAAAAGGAACGGTCAATTTGTTGGAACAAAGTACAAATATTTGACAAATTATGATCATACTTAGATATAAATTGTGAAATTAGTAATAAGCCCATAAGCTCCTACAACTTACGAGTAACTCCTTGAGGCTTGCATTTTAAACTAGGGATATAGTTTTTGAATAAAAATACATAACTTTTGTAATGAAATATTATTAGACAACATAAAATAAGTATTTAATTCATTTTGAAAGTAGTAAATTAAACCAAAGAACATGTTACACGATCTTACATGTGTTATCCACTTGCACATTGCATGGTTCCATTTTTTT